CACAGTTGCACAGAAACGCTTCTGTAGAAGAGCATTCATGCTCCCTGCCATGAAACAGGCACACAGGCAAGCAGAGAAACATACACTCACAGTAGTGGATCTAGTGGGGGTGCAATGATGTGACTGCATCCCTCCTCCCTTTTCGGCCGTGCTGCAGGACAGCAGTTGGGAACTTCTTTCGAAGTCCTGAAGCAGGTAAGAATTCCACATCTCTCAACATCCCCTCCATGCTCTGCAGCACACGCCCTTGCCTCTCATTCCCCTGCTTCCCTACTGCCAATGCCCCCATTGTCCCCTGCTGACCTGGGGCAGGGGAGCTCCAAAACCTTTCCTGCCCTGCTTCAGCTGAGCTGTGTAGGGAGCCAGGCTGAGCAGGGAATGGCAGCAGTGGTGACGGCGGGTAGCTCTCCCTCCCTGCCACTTGCCCTGGGTGTTCCCTGCCAGCATGGGAGTGGGTGTAAGGATAGGGAAACCTATCTGTCACCACAGTTGTCCCTAGCCAAGCCTGGCTCTCTGCTCAGCAGCTCCCTGCAGCCTTGGTAGGAGCAGGACAGTGATGGTGGCAGGTGGGGCTCACTGTGCCCATAGGTGTAAATAGGGAGAGGGGAAATGGGATGGCAAGGAAGGAGAGGTACTGTGGAGCATGGAAAGGAAGAGGGGGGGCTAAGAGTGGGGGGTGGGGGGATTCTTACCTGCTTCTGGGCCTCAAAAAAAGGCCATGGCTGCTATTCCCATGGCACACTTTGCCTATCCTGGTTGGGGGAATAGGTTGGGAGCAAAGGTACATCCACTCCTGCAGGGCTAGACACTGCCCCCACATCCCCCACTTCTAAAAGTCCTAGGCCTCCCTATATGCATCAGCACTGTCAGCACACACCCATTCTCTCTGCTCCCTGTGACTCTCCATTGTCACAGATTCTCCTTCCATTTGTGCTAACGCTGTATCATCTTTCCTTCTCTTACCTATAAGGAGGCAAGAGCAACTCTTGCTGTTATTATTTGGTCCACACTGTTTTTTGGAGGTATCAAGGGGAGTTGTATAGGGGTCTGTAGTCCTGGATGTAGAGGGACAGTGATTCAGGGCCTTTGTAGCACAGGAGCTTAAGATGAAATGATAGGAGATCTTTAGGAGCTTGGGATTTAGATGCTGACCCTGTGCATAAATGCCCATGTTTAATTTCCAGATCTATATTGACTGAGGCCCAACAGAGACCCTCTCCACATAATGCTTCTCCCATAGCATCTTATATATGCCCCATCTTATATTGTCTACTCCTAGGATAGCACAGCAACATCCTTTGCCTCTCCTCCTTGCAGGATGACATCTTCTAAGCCAGTTGTAGAGATAGGCACAACCCAGGAGACCTACTTCCTTTGCTGGGGTCTCTTGCAGCACTGCCATGCCTTTTTGGATTTCCCAGGGAGATCCAAGAGATGAGATCCCTTATCCCGGTGCTTTGCTAGGCCAGCAGGAGGTGCGTACCTTCCCTAGGTAGGCAGTGCTAGTACTTTCTGAGGGATCGAGCAACCTTCCAGCTCCTTCACTGCATGCCACATTGTGGGGCAATGGGATCAGAAATATTCTGATTGATCCTACTGCTTCTGGCTCTGCCCCAGACCTAGGGATCTTGGTTGTGATGCTGTTCTCCAAGCCCAAGTTAAAAGGGAGGAACTAGCTAACTAAGTAACTTGTGATACAGGATATCATTTCCTTTAATAGTGAGGACTTTTCTCCCTTCCCAAGACTTTCCCTTCTCTCCTGGGTCCTACGGACTGGTGAGTGGCAGTTTGGGCATCGATTCCCTTCAGTGTTATGAACACAAAGCCAGGAGTCAGGGAATGAATATTTATGTGTGTTCCTGTCAAGCTTTAGAGCCAAGGATCTTTGCTTTTGGGTATCGTATGGATCCTTGCATATAATTTCATATCTTGCTCTCCACAGGACTGCAGTGGGAGACTTACTCTAAGGTGCATGTGGAGATTTGTTTTTGATTGAATGGTGAGAGTGGAGGGGGAGAAGGTGAAGCTCACAAGAAAATACCTGGATGTAAATAAATTTTCTTGCAGGCATTCTTACTGGGTCCATTTCCAGGGCCAACCTTTTATAACCAGAGGGAACGATAGTTTCCATCACTTGGGACCTTTTTTTTAACTTGAGAGACGAATTGAGAAAAGAGTTGAGAGACTGATGGGCGGCTGTTGCTAATGTGGCTCTTCATGTGTGGTGGGGTGCTCTGGAAGATTCAGGGATCAGTGTCCTGTTCTACACCACATTATGTGGTAATAGATGTGACTATTCCTCTTAGGTCCAACCACCAGCTGTAGAAGTGGCAAAATCTGCAACTGGTGCACTGGGGAAGGGCTACAGTCCACTGTTACCCAGAGCCATAGCTGTACAGAGGAACCCCCCTGCACATACTTGGATGATCTCTCCCCTCTCTTTTGCCACATGACTCTATGAGAAACCCTGTGGGGAACAATTAGCCAAGACTCCAGCTAGTAGGAACAACCATAGAAGCAACCAAGGCAGAGACCTTGGATGTTCAAAGAACTTTCTGCCAGAGCTGTAGTGAGCAAATTGAGCCCCCTTGGGCGGGGGCAAGAGTGTGCTGACCATTGTAGATGTTGGCAGGAGGTGGGCTAGGGGAAGGGAAGTCTTATCTACATGGGCTATTGCTGCCCCTGCTGTAGCAGCAGCAGCTCCAGCATCAGTAGCTCCATGGCCGGGCTTCCTGGGCATTGATCTTACTGACTTTTTTACATCCCACCTCTCTCATGCATACATATTTGGTTCAGGGCTGTGCCTGCTCTAGCAGAAGCCCCCGGGGGGAAGCACCATTGCACTTGCTCCATGCCATCCAGATGTGCTGTGGTGCAGCACTGTTCTGCCCACCTTCTGCGGCTGACCAAGGGCAACACAAGACTCTCCTGGCCATGGTAGCTTCTCAGCTGGGTTGGGGGATTCTGGACCCCCTCAGTCAATGCCCAGGGCTAGTGCCCTGCTTGCCCTGCCCTGGTTATGCTACTGCTTTCTGAAGCATTTGACTGCATTTCTGTGTTCTGTACTGGCTGCCTGTTTACTCCAATCCTCTCCTACTTCCTCTCCCTCACAGTCCCTCCACCCCACCTTCACTCCCCCACTGCCCCTCTTACCCCCTCCTTTCCTGCCTTGAACTCTTCTCCTTCCCTCTAGTGCCTCCTCTTCCTTTTCTTTTTTTCCCTATTTAGTTTATCCTGAAATGAAATCCTCCTCCCCCTACCCATCCCTGAAAAGACCATGAGACTAATGTGCCCATTCACTGCCATAACATTGTTCATTCTGCTTCAGTGTTGTCTCCCTGGGGGTCGGGGAGCTTACTTATTGAGATTGCAAGCTTTGGGAGATAGGAAGCACCCAATGGTTCTGTGTTTGTAATGCCTCACATAGTCAGCTGTATGCTTGGTTGGTCTTAAGGCATTTTCCTAATCAATGTGATGAATTATAATAGCTTTAACATGCTGCTGTGATTTTATTCTATCAAAATTTACTCTCATTACAATTTTTGATAGTTATGAGCTTGTCTTCTCCCTTTGGGAGAGGGTTAAGTTTCTGGAGAGGCACCTTATTGCCTGTTTACATCTTCAGAACTCCTTTAAGCGCAGGCCTGTATTTTGGGAAATAGCGCTGACGTTTTCCATCCTTTTAGGAGCAATGGTGCATGCACGTCTTCTTATTCTCTCTCTGTCTCATACACACACACAACCGGGTCAAACTCATCCTAACTAGGGAGGTGATTCCCTAACTCATCCAGGACAGAGGATGGATACACATGAATAGCTGTGAAACGATGTTAACACACCCAGCAGATTGAACAGATATGCTTGCTATGGGACTAATTTATTCTACACAGCTCAGGGCAGTGCACACATTACTGGATCTGGTATATTCTGTGCACAAAGCGTAAGTGGTACATGTGTAAACACTCATGTGCAGCCAGTCTGTCCTGTCAATAATATCTGGTCACTTTGGCCATTAGACAAAGATCTCACTAAGCATGGTCAAAAGATAGTAATTAGCAGGGTGCGTTGTGCAAAATACCACTCTGAACTACCAAGAGACAGATTTTTCTATCTACCAGACTGACCACTGTATATATATATTTTTTACTACTTATTCAGTTCCTGGCTTGCAGTTTTCTGTGCTTCTTCTCATCTGCCTGTTCTGTGGGTTTTAAGAAGTCTTGATAATCGGCAGTGCTAAATTTTACTGCTCATAAAACCCCAGAAAGCACTGATTGTGACTTGAGTTAAGCAAGTGGCATATAAAATCTTACAGCCTTACAGTCATGGGGGAGTTTTATGATGATTGTATTTCTTGGGAGCAGCAAAGGACTTGGAGGATTACTTCTTCCATCTTTGTTTCAGGCATCACTTGCCATTAGAAACAAGCAAAGCTGTAATAGGATTTAGACTCTGAGTCAAGAGAAACACACAAAAGTTAGAAAACAAAATCTCAGTTTGCTAATTTGAGTATGAGGGGTTGTGAGAAGACCGTTTCTCCATCAGACAGAAAACAGGTAGCCCAGTGTCTGTTCCAAAGCTGGAAAATAGATTTAAAAAATACAGTAATGCTGGCAGAGTAAATCTTCTTTATAATTTCTGAAAAACCTTTTCTTACATATGTTCCAAACCCACACATTAGGTTATTTTGTAAAAGATTTTAAAAAACATTATTTTTCATTCTTGAAGCTGATTTTTTGGGGGGTTTCATTCAGACTCCTTAGTGAACTTTTGTATAAACTGTGTATTGTTAGTGAAACTATATTGGTTGGTTTCACACACTGATTCTTAACCAGAGGCTATTGTGTTTGAAAGCAGCTTTCCATGTGATTTTAAAGAAGTTGGAAGCTAATTTCTGTGTCCCAACAAAACTTTCTCCTGTTCAACAAAATGGATTATTTCATGAAAACTACTATTTATTGATGAAAGTTCTGAGAAGTTTTCTTTTTCTCTCCCTCCAGTTCCAGAAACCTAATGACTTCTCACCCCCTTTCCGCTTTGGGACAGTTCCCAATGGCAGCACAGAAAGGAACATTCGCAACAACTACCCTGAAATGCATAGCTACATGGTGAAGTTCAATCAGAGGGGGGTAGGGGATGCACTGTTATCACTGAAAACTGGGTAAGGCTGCCGTCTTCTACATTTGTCCACAATGTAAGCTTGGTTTCTTGTCTTGAGTGTCTGGGAATTTTCTGTTGGACTTCAGTGACTATTCTCTATGATTTTCAAAGTGCCAAAAATATCACAAACACTACAACAGTTACCGAGGCAATTTTGTTTTGATGCTATTCACAATTCTTTTTTGCTAGTTTTCTGTTAATATCTACACAAGTGATTTTATTTGATTTTGTTTGTTCACAGGAATATTTTTGGAGAGAGCGAACCTCATGTGAATATTTATTTGCATACATGTTAGTACGAGCAATCTTGCTGGTACAAGCTGTTATGTATGAGGAGACGCCTATGCCTTTGCAGAACCAGTACTTGCAGTACTTTGTGGCCAAAGTTTGTCCCAGAAATGTGTGCACAATCCTCCTGATACTGTTTTGATTCCCTTTTTATAGCATGAAAGATTAAGTCAGTTAGGGAGCCTAAATGTCACAGGCCAGCATAGCAACAATGAATATCGTATAGACAATGACATAGTCAAAGTAATTTGTTTATGAATGACACACAGGCTAAAATATCTTTGCATAAAATGCCTGTCAAAATGTTTTTGACTCATGAATATATATATATATATGAAATCAGAGTTTTTTCACAGATCTTTGGGAAGCAGAAAAGGAAAAACTCACTGAAAATAGTCTGCTTTTAGCCCTTTGCCCCATTCTAACAGCTACCAGGATGTCCTCTACGAGCAGACAGAAACCCTGTTGTTTTTCATAAGTCCCTATCCTCTGTGGATAAGGACAGCCCCTTCCGTGTCGAGCCTCAGATTGATTTTCCAGAAAATCACCCTTACAGGGAGGTTGGGGTTGTGCGGGCATTAAGGTGAAGGGGTGACAGCCCGGAAATCACAAGTCCAAGGCCATAACAGAATTGCTCATGGTTTGGCCCTTTCAGATTCCAACAATTCTGCAAATTCTGCTAAATACCTTGTCACAAGGACACAGAAAAAGAAACGAACCCCTGTGGGGAAAAACAAGATCTTTGCTCCTTGTGTCTCACTCTGGGTTGCAGAACCACTGCACTCTCTGATAAGGTTCATTCTGAAGTACGAAAGGATGTTCAGCCAATTTAATTACTAGATTGACTGAATATTTCTAACCCATTTGCCTGAGTCAGAGGAGCGTAGCCCATTACAAATGACTGTACAATTACTGGATGCCATCCTGGGAATGAATGCGTGCCAGGGTAGTCGTCATCCAGGAAATAAATATGCTCTGTCCTGGAAATATATAGATGAGAGAGATGTCATCCTAGAAATATATACCAGGTAGAAGTCAACACTGACTTATACTAACTTTGGGTTAGACCACACCCTAGGAATAAACTTGAACTGAATGGGGAAGATACTACCTTGGAAACATACATGCACTCCAATAGGGGTTAGAATCATGGAAAAGTAGAGCTGGGAGGGACCTCAGGAGATCATCTAGTCTAACCACCCGCTCAAGACAGAATTGAATGGGTGGGTGGGTATGGTGGTGAAAGGGTTGGAAGATGAAAGTTCTTCATTTCATATTTAGCAGAAAGTTTTAATCTCTTGCAATCTCTGGTTATTTGGAAGGTGTAAACCATAGAATCATAGAGAATTAGGGCTGGAAGGGACCTCCAGAGGTCATCAGAGGCAACATCATCCCTATCCAAACCAATTTATACAAATCCATAATCTAAACTCTCTGTAAAACTGTCATCAACCCTGACACACCGCAAGACACAACACCCTAACCTGCCATCGATAAAGCATATTTCCTTCAGTTGGTGTTTCTTTCCCAAATAATCAATATTTTTACTGGGAGGAAGGAAAGACTACCTGACCTCTCCAAACCACATCCACCAGTGTCATCTAGTCACAGTGCCAACATTAGTGGTTCTCTAAATCAATCTGGAATAAGTTTCTCAGGGCATCTCTACTCTGCATATACTACACCCCAAAAGTGTAACATAAATGTCTTTAGAGTAGCCTGGGCATGTGCTATTCAGTACACCCAAGAGAAAAAGCTTTAGGCACATCCCAGTGCCACTTGAAGGATGGCTACATTAAATATTTTCAAAGTGTAGCATGTGCCGAATGGCCATGCCATGCTTCACCACTGCACTCCCTAGCACAGTTGGAAGGTGGTATAGACATGGTCTCATAGATTCATAGATGTTAGGGTTGGAAGGGACCTCAGTAGGTCATTGAGTCCAACCCCATGCCATGGGCAGTAAAGAGTGCTGTGGGGTCAGATGACCCCAGCTAGGTGCTTGTCCAGTCTGCGACCAGCCTCAGTGCTCTACAAACAGGGTGTGATAATACCCATCTTCATGGTTAGACATAAATCAATCAGTGACCTGATCAATTGTTATCATTAAAGATCTGCTGGGACTTTTTTAATAGGGGTGTTAAACTCAGTATTTTAAGCTAGCTAAATCATGCCAGCCATTTCAACTAGAAATGATCTTTTGCCTTACTTCAAATCCTAATTTCTTATATAGCATCCATGTATTTTGTAGAGCATTTCAGGATCCTTTGAGATGAAAGGTACTATAAACATTTAAGATGACTATAGATGTTCCTTTATCTTCCTCTTTATTCATCCTTGACCCTGCAATAGGTTTTTGTTTTATTTCTACTTCCACATCAACTCACTGGAGACCATGTTGGAAGTCAGGAAAACAGAGATAGGTCCTTACCTAATCTCCTCACCTAATCTCCTCCACATTGAAAATTAAGATTTAAGGCTCAGATTTTAGTTGCTCCCTGTGAAGTTTCAGAATGCAGTATACAGTATTCGATCTGGACTGGTTCCTCTCATCCATAGCTAGCAAACCACATTTTTTTGCAAGGAAAGGGAATTGCTATCTATTGTGATTTAAACTTGCATAGAATCTCTTTTTTTACTGCATACCTTCTTTTTTTCTTACACCTATGCAGGAAGTTGGATGCCTTCATTTATGACGCAGCAGTGCTAAACTACATGGCTGGCAGAGACGAGGGCTGTAAACTGGTAACAATTGGAAGTGGGAAGGTGTTTGCCTCCACAGGCTATGGCATTGCCATCCAAAAGGACTCTGGCTGGAAGCGGCAGGTTGACCTTGCCATCCTTCAGCTTTTTGGTGATGGTAAGTGATCTGAACAAAAAGATTGGGTTTCCTTGATCTCTATTAGATCCTATCTATGTGGAATTTGCTGCTCTCATCCCTACCCTACTGTTTTAGACTTGGTAGATAATGGGAGATTAATAAAAATAGGTTACTAACAAAAAGATAGAGCCACATGAGCAGAAATATAAACAGTTTCAAAGATTTGATAAAAAGTAAGCGTCAGATCAGAAGTATATTTTAAGCTTATCTGAGTATCTTTCTTTCAGAAGTCTTGTGAAAGCAGATTTTCCCTTGTGAATTAGTAGTACTTCCAGGTTGCTGGCCATAATCAAAGACACTACTAAAAATGGACTTTGCAAGAATTATTCCATTAGGAATTCAGTAGTAAATTTTGAAGAACTCTTCAGCTCTTAATGGATTCAAACTAGTTTGCCTTCATCCTTATTAGGTATTACTTAAAAAAAATATATGGTACATTGTTGATGGGATGAGAGCTTCACTCTGGGAAGAATTTTCTACAGTTTCCCCCTTCCTTCCCCATACCACTCCTTTCAGGACACTTCTATTGGAAAATTAAAATTCTTATCTTATTGTGTAAATGAATAGATTTCTTAAATCAGAAATAAAGGTACAGGAAAATAAATACAGGAAGATTATTAGAACTGACATATTTTAGCAAAGAATTAACTACCATTCTGAAAGCTTATTCTGAAAAGTATAAAACCCCCACAATGTACCTGACTGTGCAGTGTAATACCATATGAACATAAGATCTCATGTCTGGTCCTGAAAAGTATGAATAACCTCCAGTTTCTCCTAAAATCTGAAAAGTAGTCCCAAAATTCAGTTTTTGAAGGTTTGCACAGATTGTGAGCATACGGTAATAGGGATAAGTGTGCAGTACAGGCAAGCTAGGAAAGCTCTATTGTTACTTGGTGTATGTGGTTGATAATTTGAGCTGATCAAAAAATAGAAATTTTGACAAAATTGAAAAATATTTTAATAAATATAGCAGGGAAATATTTTAATAAGTGATTTTTTTTAGCTAGTCAAAAACCAGTTATGGAATTGTGTGGAAAATTTAAAATTTGAAATGTCAGTGAATTTAAACCTGAGCAGGGATATTTTCATTGAGAAAAATAATATGTTTTTAAACATCTGTAGTAATGGCTGTTTTCTCCCTCCACTGATCTGATATCCACAGTGAAAGTTTCAGAAGAAAGGTCTCTACTGACATGGAATGGAATTTCCTTAGCAGTTCTTTCAGCACTTTGGTAGTTCGGCAGGTGTGTTTTATGATGCAGCCTTTCATTCTAGCTTCTGGTTATGGCAGAGTCTTGTCCTTTTATTTCTCCTCCAACAAATCACTACATCTCTTACTACTACGAACACTGCATCCTGCCAGAAGTGCTAGTAAAGGAGCTATATGGACAGAACTCCACCATGGTCAGACTGCAGTTATAAAACCAGAGCTCAGACAGTAGAAAAGACTTGAGGCCAACTTCTATTCCAGTTTGCTATGGCTTGGAGTTTATAGTCAGCACAGAACTGACTCAACTTTATTTTTTGTCTTTCTAGGAGAAATGGAGGAGTTGGAAGCTCTTTGGCTCACTGGCATTTGTCATAATGAAAAGAATGAGGTAATGAGCAGCCAACTGGACATAGACAATATGGCAGGGGTCTTCTACATGCTGGGAGCAGCCATGGCTCTCAGCCTCATCACCTTCATCTGTGAGCATCTCTTCTACTGGCAATTCCGTCACTGCTTCATGGGTGTCTGCTCTGGCAAGCCTGGTATGGTCTTCTCTATCAGCAGGGTGAGTGTCTTCAGATCATACAAAGGAACAATGGGGAAGTTAAGTCATCTGGTTATAGAAGTTAAAAAATAGGAAGTCCTACTAGATTATTTTGACTGTCTCAGTTACGCACATCCAACATAATGTGTGTGTGTGTGTGTCTACCTGTGTGTATATATATATATCTTCAGTGCTTTGTCTATTTTTTATGTTACAAGGGTTTCCACCACTTTCCTTAAGAAGTCTGCATTTTCCTCAGATTATTTAATAAATTGTGGTCTCATTTGGAACCAATAATGGTGGAACAGTTGGAAAAATAAAAGGCAAGGTAAAAAAAAAGTGTCGTTTTTCTAACCCTCCAAAATGTCCTTAAAGAATATTGATTTCCCGGAGGAAGTTTAGGGCAGTTCTTGATTCTTCTACCTGAACCAATTTTCCTTCAGCTCTAGTCAATAATTTTAGAAGTTATGGAGAAGTCTGTTGTTGCCCTGTGTGTTGGAGCTTTATAGATAAACTTGTCACAGATCAGCACTGGCCTGTGGTTGTTGTGGACACAGATGTTTCTAACCAAAAATCATATTGTGAACCATACAAAAATCCCTCCCAAAAGGAGGATCACTTGTCTTCAGCACACACCTAATGCAAAATCTGCCTTCATGGCAAACATTTACATATGAGGTAGCTTCTTCAGTGAATCATTTCTGTGTGATCTGTTTGCTACTGTTGTAGATGTCTGTGTCCCACTTTCTTGCTTCTCCTCCTGCCCCATCCTGCAAAGAGGTCATAATTCTGTGTTTCTGACATCACTGCCCATTGCTTTGGAATTTAGTGTGTCAAAGAATGGTTGTTCGAGGCATACATTGTATTGTACCACACTGTTTGGGGGATATTAGATAGTTCAGCTGGGTGTGGGTAAAAAAGTCTTATGTCATATTTTAGCTGTTCTAGTTTGATCCCAAGTTAGGAATCAGGAACTGAATGTGTCAGATGATTGTTAATGTGAAATAGATTATTAAAATACTATAGAGCCTTTCATATCTAGATTACCTTCAGATCTGGGCCAGGTTGGTGGGTATGACTGAGAGTCATTAACCATCTACTTGTTGAGTGATCTATGTGAAATGACTTGTTAACCAGTCCCTTTTATAAAGTTTTGGTGTCTACCTTGCAACTGGCATAAAATGGTGGCCTCAGTTTGAGAGGCCAAGGAGTGAGTAATGGAGGTTGAGCTACTTTTTCACCCTAAATGTAGTCTTTCTACATAATGGTTGAGAAGCACTGGTTCAGGAAACATGGAAAGATGTTGCACTGTCTGTTTTGGGCTTGCACAGAGACTTTCCAGGGATGCCCATCTGGGGTCCTCTTAACCTTATTAGATTGAACTTGAAAGCCATTGAAAATTCTTTTGCTCCCCATTCATCCAAATTCTAAATATCTAAATGTCTGTTCATCAGCTCTATCATTTCTGTTTCTTTTTTTAAAAACTGGGCCGATAGTTAATATGCCTGTATGTATGCCCTTTTTAACCAGTTTCCTTCCTGGGTGATTCAGTATTGTAAGGGGGTAAATTCAGGACCAAACTAGATAGTCTTCAACTCTTGCGTCCAACACAGAAATTTTGCTCTTGCTGTCAAATATAATATATGTAGTGGTCTTGCTCCTACTGGAGTTCTACCGGGTATGAGTAAATCCTATTGACTTTAGTGGTTGTTACTTGCATCCGGCAGAAGAGACAATTTTGCCTTTAGAATTACTGGCTTTGGAAGAGGAGCCTGATCTTGTGTTATATTGATTTCTTATGCCTCAAATAAATGAGCTTCTTTCCACATGGAAAGTATTATGATTTAATAAAATGTAATTAATTTTATATATTAATATCTTACCTGGAAGATCACACTGAACTCAGGGCTCCGGTTATATTAGGCACTGTACACACACAAATGTAATCAGAGACAGAATCTTTCCCAGGGAACTTGATATCTAAATAGATCAGACAAAGAAAGTATTCTTATCCTCATTTTACAGATGGGGAACTGAGTCACGCAGTGGCAAAATTACTTGTTTAATGTCACACAGGAAGTCTGTGGCTAAACTGGGTAAGGAAGCAAACTTGGATTGTCTTAGTCTTCATCTAGTTCTGTCCAGTAAGACTTGTCCTTCTCCTCTAAACTGTTTATTAATGAAAGAAAGGGAATCTAAGAAGAGTGAAGGAGTAAGTAAAAAGGAACAAAGTATAGAAAGAGAAATGGAGGGGAAGGAAAATAAATAGAAAGGAGGAGCAAGACAGAGAGAAGAGTGTATGTTGCTAATGTAAGTTTGATCTCATTTCATAACGCTGCAAAGTTGGCAAACTTTAGGGTCTTTGGCAAGGACAAACTGTTCTCTGCCTCATAGTTCAGTTTTTCCAGTCCTGTACCTCTCGTATCTCTCTTCTCTTGCGTAAGCACTCACCTCTTCCTGTTCCATTTCATTCCAGGGTATCTACAGCTGCATTCATGGTGTAGCCATTGAGGAACGTCAGTCAGCAATGAACTCTCCCACAGCAACTATGAACAATACCCATTCCAACATCTTGCGCCTACTCCGCACGGCAAAGAATATGGCCAATTTGTCAGGGGTCAATGGCTCACCGCAGAGTGCCCTGGACTTTATCCGCCGTGAATCATCAGTCTATGACATCTCTGAGCACCGCCGCAGCTTCACTCATTCTGATTGCAAGTCTTATAACAACCCTCCTTGTGAGGAGAACCTTTTCAGTGACTACATTAGTGAGGTAGAAAGGACCTTTGGCAACTTGCAACTGAAAGATAGTAATGTGTATCAGGACCACTACCACCATCACCACCGGCCCCACAGTATTGGCAGTGCCAGTTCCATTGATGGACTGTATGACTGTGACAACCCACCCTTCAGTGCCCAGCCAAGGTCCATCAGTAAGAAGCCATTGGACCTTGGTTTGCCATCTTCCAAGCACAGTCAGCTAGGTGATCTCTATGGCAAGTTCTCCTTCAAGAGCGATCGGTACAGTGGTGGAGGGGGCCATGATGACTTGATCCGCTCAGATGTCTCTGACATTTCCACCCACACAGTGACTTATGGCAACATTGAAGGTAATGCTGCCAAGCGGCGGAAGCAGCAGTATAAGGACAGCCTGAAGAAACGTCCAGCCTCAGCTAAGTCACGGCGGGAATTTGATGAGATTGAACTAGCCTACCGCCGACGCCCACCCCGTTCCCCCGATCACAAGCGCTACTTCAGGGACAAGGAAGGGCTACGAGACTTCTACCTGGACCAGTTCCGGGCCAAGGAGAACTCGCCGCATTGGGAGCATGTGGACCTGACAGATATCTACAAAGAGCGGGGAGATGAGTTCAAGCGTGATGCTGTAGGGGGAGGAGTATCCTGCACCAACAGGGCCCACCACAAGCATGGATCAGGGGAGTTTGGAAGCGCCAATGAGCACAAGCATGGTGTTGTGAGTGGGGTACCGGCACCATGGGAGAAGAATCTGACCAACCTAGACTGGGAGGACCGGACTGGGGCTAATTTCTGCCGTAGCTGCCCCTCTAAGCTGCACAATTATACTCCAACAGTGGTGGGACAGAACTCCACCCGCCAGCCATGCATCCGGTGTGAGGCGTGTAAGAAAGCAGGCAACCTCTATGACATCAGTGAGGATAACTCCCTTCAAGAGCTGGACCAACCACCTGCCCCTGTGCCAGTGCCAACCAGCGCCGCCTCCTCCTCCAAGTATCCTCAGAGCCCTTCCAACTCTGCCTCCAAGGTGCAGAAGAAGAACCGCAACAAGCTTCGCCGGCAGCATTCCTATGACACCTTCGTAGACCTGCAGAAGGAAGAATCAGCCCTGGCCCCCCGCAGTGTAAGCCTGAAGGACAAGGGCCGCTTTTTGGAGGGGAGTCCCTATGCCCATATGTTTGAGATGCCAGCCAACGAGACCACCTTTGCCAACAACAAGTCCTCAGTGCCCGCCACCAGCTACCACCACCACAACAACCCCGGCGGCAGTGGCTACATGCTCAGCAAGTCGCTCTATCCCGACCGGGTCACGCAAAACCCTTTCATTCCAACTTTTGGGGATGACCAATGCTTGCTCCACGGCAGCAAATCTTATTTCTTCAGGCAGCCTGTGGTGGCAGGGGGGCCCAAAGCCAGGCCGGACTTCCGAGCCATCGTCACCACCAACAAGCCGGTGGTATCAGCCCTTCATGGGGCTGTGCCAGCCCGTTTCCAGAAGGACATCTGTATAGGGAACCAGTCCAACCCCTGTGTGCCTAACAACAAAAACCCCAGGGCTTTCAATGGCTCCAGCAACGGGCATGTTTATGAGAAACTCTCCAGTATTGAGTCTGATGTCTGAGTGAGGGGAAGGAATGTGGGAAGGGGTCATGGGAGAAAATTGGAGTGTGGGAGGGTGGGGTGGGATCAGACTTGATTCCCATTTGCTACTCTTCTGGTTCTTTCTTTATTCATGGAATACTGGAGTTCTGAGTTCTATCTAGGGCAGCACTGGTGACAAGTGCCACCTCTTTGTTTCCCCACCTCCTTTATATCTTTCCATTTTCCCACTCCTTCCTTTCTCCTCCATTGCTGGCCATCACATGTCCCGTGACGTAAGAGTCAGGTATCTTGTTGTTTCAAAGATGGAGAAGGTGTAGGTTTGGGGTGAGTCAGGAGAGGGTAAATGAGCGGGAGCAGTGGCTATGTAGTTTCATTTTATTTAACTGAAAACAGTGAAGGTATACACAGATGTGTGTATAATAAGAAGAGAGCAGAAGAAGTGGAATGGACACGAAGGAAAATGCTTGCTCAGGCAATTCTTCCTAAAACTGTTTAGAAAAAAAAAAATGAAGGCATGAAGAGGAAACAAGGTGGGATTGGCTTGCTGCACTTACATGTTAATTATATTGTGGTTCTTGTTAAATTATTTCCTGAAAATCATGGGGATTTAGGGCTGAAACATGTATTTGCATATATGCTGAGAAATTTCCTCTGAAATTCTGAATAATTTGCTAGGGGTGGGAAGGTTGAGTTATATGCGGGTCTGGCCAGTGGTTCAGTTCTGGTAACGCAGTTATCACATCTGGGACAAGCTAATGTGAGGAATGGAAAAAATGCTGAGCAGCTTTGAGGTCAGGAAAACCCCTGAGTATGCTGGGGGTTGATACTGACTGCCTTGAAATAAGGGGCACCTAAAGGTGAGAGGCAAGGCTTAGCTTGTTCATTAACAATTAACCCCTGTTCATTTTTGGGTATATTTAAATCATGAAAATAGCTCAAAGCATGGAGCTGGCTTCTACATGAGTATATATGATAACACTATACTTGAAATGTTTGCAGAGAGAACAAAATAAAACAGATCAGTTATGATGTTTGGATAACAAACCCATTATAACAAATGGAAGAAAACTTGACAACCCAGGGGAAAGGCAAGGAGAAAGATGGCACAAAAAGGACAATGGGGATGAACTGTTGCAGTCACTTCAGGAGATGGCAACTCCATTTTGGCTACATCCTTTTGAAAAGGAGGGGGTCAAAACAGAAAGGGGTTTTAACTCTCCTCCCTGCCCATCCTTGCCGGGCAGGAAGAAATGTATTATAAAATGGAATAGAGCTCTCTCTGCTAATATTGGTACAGTGACAAGGAGAAAGGAGGCACCAGGGAACATGTATGGAAGAGGCAGGAGTCTGTTTACATGTCTGGTTGCATAACCGAGAGGGGAGGGTGCACACTTGTTGAATACATGCATATACTTTTGAATGTGCAGTGAATATGCATGACTTGTCTTCCGGGGGCAGGAGGGAATGACACAAATAAATGGCAGTAGACACAGCAATTGTGCTGAGGTCTGAAGACTAGAAATGAATGTGGGGGGGGGGAGAAGGGGAGAAAGAGAGGAAATGTGGGTGTATGCGTGCGCGTGCATGTGTAAGTAGAAGAGAGAGTAAGTTACTAGCATAGGTTCAAAGCTGCAATAGCCTGAGGGTTTACCATGCCCGCAGTCATACTGACAGCTTTTCCCAGCGCACATAGTATCAGCAAGAGCATACTTCTTTCCATTGTATCCACGCACTTTAATTAAACTAAAGGGTAGAGGCGGTAGGAGTGAGAAGTCACCCTCCCCTTTCATTTACTGTCTTCTCCAGGAGGATTGATGGTGGTGCCATAGGCCAGCACCTGAGATCTATGGTATGGTCCCACACTCTTTTTCATAGGCTTGTCCCAATGACCTACCAGTCTTCACTCAATCAGGAAAACCCCTGTTGACTTGGAGCATTGCATGAGACTGACTCGAAACAGAAGGCACAACCATTTTATCAGCCACATTTTCTGCACTCTCTGGAGCTGAAACCCACTTCTCTCACTCTCCATCACACACCAGTTGATTTTATCTCATCTTTCTCTCTTTTTAAGCCAATAGAAGGTCTCATTTTTTAAAAAGCTGGGCTGGGGGATGGGGTGGACCTGAAAAGTTTCATGGTGTGACAAAAGGGTGGCTTGGGTGGGCATTGTCTTTTCTTATATTTTCCTGAGGAGGGTAGAGAGGAAGGGTCTATGAAATATAACCCCCGTAACAGGGGTCAGGGAACTACTTACTCCTTCCCTCTCCTCCCTTTAAAAGAAAAACCAAACAAACTAACCAAGCGATCTGCAATCCAGAACACACGGCAACTTGTCAGAATTGACTGACAATGGCCACCAAGAAGACATTCATTTCATTTGTAAATATTTCGTTTCTATTGCGTTTTGTATAAATTGGTGTTTTTCTTCTCGTGACTCTTCAGGTCGTGGGGTGGGAGGGAGGGGAATGGTTGTTTTTGTTTAGTTTGTTTTCTACAACTTTCAGGCTGAGTGTTTGGAGCGGTTTACGCGGGTCGAGGCCGTACGAATGGGAAAAAATGAGAAAATCGTGTGCGTTGTATTCCTCAGTACCCCAAAACTGCCCTCATCTCCTTTATCTTCATGAATGGAAGACGCCGGCACGTCACCTTGAACCTTGCCAGCAGGGTTCTTATGTTATGATGGAAGCACCCCATCTCCCTTTTTGATGATAAACTCTCTATACCAGCATCTCTCTGTGGAATTTGGGCCTCAAGGCATTCTGCTGTCTTGATAGTGATGGGGTGAACCATCAATTTGGCTGTACATTTTGGATCATCACCTGACACTACAGAGACTTCTCCGACACTTCTTTGGTTTAGAAATCTTGGGACTGGGAGAGCTTCTGAGATTTCTGGTATTTCCCAAGGGGTTTTTGGTTTTGTTTTTTTTTAGCAGCTGACAATAGCAGCTGATTTCTGGTGGTTTTTTCAGTCCTTTCCCCTCACCTGGAACCAAGACGCTCAGAGGTTGGCACTGTGGGGAAATAAAACTGAAAACAAACCAAAAAGAAGTTAATGGGACTCTTTTTTCAAACCTCTGTAAATGGTTCAGGTTTTGTGTTTTGGGCAAGCTTGGGTATGGCTCTTTTCTCTGAACTGATTTGTTCTCTCCCTAATTCCAGTGACTGGCAAATGATGGTTTGCCATGATAATTAAACTTAGCATTTATACTGTGTAGCGCTGTTAACATTCAAAGCGTTTTTCAAACATTAACTGTGCCATAAACCACAAAAATTTCTGCTCTGGAGACAACCAGAAAAGTAGGACCGGCAACAACGGATCGAACTTTTGGTCCATCTTCAGGAGTCTGGTATCTTGCCTTCTGTTGTATCAGATTAGACCATAAGTCCGCCTAGTTGCTTCTTTCTCCTATAAGTGACCTTTTCTGGTGGCTTCATGTACTTAAGTTCTGACTGTGGGTGAGAAGCTTTGGGGCAGAAGGATGTGTGTGGTTTATCTGGGGTAGACTATAACCCAGGAAAGAAAAATGATGTGATCAAATATAGATTATGAATTTAGGATTTCATTTCAGTGTTATTTTGTTACAAGTAATCAAGTGCACCAAACAGGTACGTTAGCAGCAGGTGCTGTTTATGCTCAAGCAGAGCCCATGTGATACTTATTGCATATGCTTCCAAACAAGCACGGGCTTTCATATTGAAGCCCAACAAAATTCTACATCTCCCACTCGGCCATCGCCCTCTCTTCTTTTCTTCCTCATAGAACAATACAGTATTTCTGGGGCACTCTATGGGATCACTGCCCACCAGTTTCTGAGTACAAGAATAGTGAGTGGAAATCATTGTGTCATGAATGGTTCAGTGATCTGTACTGCATGGTTAAACTTACCAGGAAGGATCTGGCACATCTAAGCCATGTATTTGTTGCATTCCTCTTCCTCCCCACTGTAGCCCCAGATGTGGCTCCCTGAGAGATGTTTTCATGAGCCATGGAGCAGTATCAGAGCATATGCATTTAGCTGAGGGAGAACAGGGGATGTGGGGATGGGGAAGAAAATGTTCCTAAATCAGAGTTGTTCCATACACCAGGGGTTGGGAACATTTTCCAGTGGGGGGGTGG